AATAACCAAAATTACTAATATGTGAATGAAACAATTAAAAACAGTGTAAGTTACTTGAGGTAAAGGCAGCAACTTAATTTTATTCTCTACTCTTTCCTACCACTCAAAAATAACTAGTATTTGGTGATGTTGCATGACTGATTGAATGAATGAAAGTCTCCACAGTAAGAACTATACTTTCTTATGAAAAATGGTAAAAGAAATAAATGGCATGAGCAAAAAGAAGGAATTACCTCCATAGCAAGTATGATTTTTGCCTATAAAAACTGGCCTACAACATGCTATTTTCATACAATTACAACTTGATTGAGTGTAATCTACCGAACAGCAAATCCAGAAAACCTTTATATAAACAAAATGACCTTGAGGTTGTTGCCTGCGTCTGTCTAGCTAATAGCTATAACTAATGTAGCTAAAACTGATGTAAGGCAAGATATTAAAACCAACTAAGTGCTTACTTTGTTACAATTTAAGAGGGTGGAATCATTATGAAAATTATTACAATTGTATAAAGAAAAATAGAATATGGTGAATGAAGAAGCAATACATTATTTTAAACAGTAACTAGTATAGGGTAAATTACATAACAGGCACTATGTAAACATTTGTTGTTATTGAATGAATGAATGGTCTGTTCCTATTTTAAGGAAGATGACACAACAGGAAAAGGCTACTGTGGTTTCTAAAGGAAATAAGCATATTAAAATAGTATTTTAAGGTCTTATAAACCTTTCATTAAAAAATAAACGTCACAAAATATACTAGGATAGAATCGTAACGATACATAGACCAACACATTCTGGCCAAATAAAAATAACATTATCTTGGTTAATTGGTAATTCAAATGCCTCACTTGAGAAAGTTGTGGTTATTGCAGGTAATGTTATTGTACATGGTAGGAATCATGGAAAGAACCACTGTTAGGCACTACAATTGTTTTTAAATTTCATTGGTCAGAAGAAGCAGTTGAGGTACCTATTAAACGTCAGATTTCTTGACCTCAACACTGAGTGATTCTGATTCAGCAAGTCCAGGTGAGTTTCCTGAATCTGCATTTGTAACATGCGTTTCAGGTGATTTCTAAGCCAGTCATCTGCAATCTGTATTTTGTAAAACAGTTTTTGGGATTCCTACCATTGTGCTCCCACTCATAAGATTCAATCCATTAGTAATTAATGGACCCGAAGTTTTGTAATTTTCGGGTGGCATTCTTTCAGGGCCTGCCTTCCAACTGGATCAAATCTTCTAAAGTCTGCTTTGTCTTTGAATGGAATTAGTGCCCTTGGAGACTCCAGAGAGCGTGCTTTTCCTCCCATAACTATATGTAAAGACAGAGAAAAGACGGTTGCCTAGGAGCTGGGAAGTGGGCCCTCACTAGACACCAAGTCCGTTGTTGCCTTGATCGCGGGCTTCTCAGCCCCCAGAACTGTGGGAAGTAAATTTATGCTGTTTATAAGCCACTCAGTCTATGGTATTCTGTTATAGCAGCCAAACAAACAAAACCAAAGAAAATAATCCCCCCCAAAAACCATATGAATCTGGTGCTTTTTCTAAGCGGGGAGGGCTAGCTGTTTGAGCAATTCCTCTATTTCTTTTATGTGTATTGGAACTCTGATATTTTATCCCTTATAGAGTAAATTTTAATTTTTGGAAAATTACACATTTCATCCATGTTTTCAAATGTTTTTGTTTGTGTAGGGTTGCATAAACTAGTTTTATATGATTTAAATGTCTTCCATATTGATGGATATTTCTCCTTCTTTCTTATTTTGTATATGACTGATTTTTCACTTCCCCCCCTTCAGTTAGCTTGTAAGTGAGCCATGGAGAAAATGGCCACAAATACTTTAAAGAAGGTAATTTTTAAAATGAGAATAACAATTTGATTTCTTTAGAATATGAGAAAGGTACACAATAGCATACATATTATATAAATACAAATAATATCTGTCATTTTCTCTTGCAGTTTATCTTGTAATGTCCTTGACGAATGAGACCAGTAGCATTCTAGTAGATTTACCCCTTATTTATATGGAAGTATACGTAAAAATAATACAATTCTATTTTAGTATAGGTTGATACAAAAGTAATTGTGGTTTTACCATTCCTTTTAAATGGCAAAAACCAGAATTACTTTTGCACCAAGCTATTAATAGTATATGTCGACTATGGACTGTTTAATTTTTGACATTAATGTGTCAATGTTGGTTGCGTTTTGAATACCTATCAGTTTATGTGTGTGTGTGTGTGTGTGAGAGAGAGAGAGAGATATATATATATATATATATCTCTCTCTCTCCATGAATTTTATTAGGTTAAATGTTTTCAAAGGGTAAAATTCTTACAGATTGATAAAATTCTTTGAACTAGCTGATTAAGAACTGAGATCAGAAAATAATGCAAAATGAGATAGAAAGAAAGTCAGCTGCGTTCAATGCATGTGAGTGTCAGATGGTCGTTTGTCCTTGCCGAATCCTCTCTACATTTTTTTATTTGATTGTTATTAGTCAAAATTATGTTGTCTAAGCTGAAAAGTAGGAGAAATAATTGTAATATTAAGTGTCTTAATTATATTGGTTAATATTAGTCACATTTTACTTCTTTCTTTTTGAGACAGGGTCTTATTGCCCTGTCACTCAGGCTGGAGTGCAGTGGCACCATCATGGCTCACCGCAGCCTCAACCCTGCTGGCTCAAGAAGTCCTCCGACCTCAGCCTCCCACATAGCTGGGGCTACAGACATGCATAATGCCAATGCCTGGCTAATTTTTTTTTTTTTTTTTTTTTTGAGATGGAGTCTTGCTCTGTCGCCCAGGCTGGCGTGCAGTGGCACAATCTCAGCTCACTGCAAGCTCCGCCTCTCCAGTTCACACCATTCCCCTGCCTCAGCCTGCTGAGTAACTGGGACTACAGGTGCCCGCCACCACGCCCGTCTAATTTTTTCTTTTTGTATTTTTAGTAGAGATGGGGTTTCGCGCTGTTAGCCAGGATGGTCTCGATCTGCTGACCTCATGATCCTCCCATCTCAGCCTCCCAAAGTGCTGGGATTACAGGCGTGGCTGGGCTAATTTTTAACTTTTATTTTTTTGGAGAGATGAGTTACTCATTTCATTCTAATCGGTATGGTTCTGCTAATCTCATGGGCATATGAATTTGTAGAAGGAAGATACTTAAGCTTTGGTCTTTTTTGTGTATAAAAGTACATTTTTCTTTTCTACAAAGCTCATTTGTAGCACTGCAGAGGTTGTTTCCTACCTGTAGGTGAGTGATAGATGGAAGGAAGAATTCTAATAACTTTTTCAGCACATGTTGACACCCATAGTCTTTTCTTTCCCTTGAGGGGGCGGGATGGCGGTGGCTCTAGTTATGTCCAGAATTATGATGAAAATGCTCTCTGTCACAGTCGGCACAAGGTGCCCTGCTAGTGCACAATACCTAATGGATAATGATGGGACATATTTACACCTTGAAAATGAGGTGGTTAAATTTTTGAATTTTCTTACAGCGCTCAGTGCAGTGAGAGTCCCCATGGAGATACACAGGTTCAAGATCTGTCCCAGCAATAGCAGGTGATGACAGAGGGCTCTGTTTCAATATGTTTTGTACAGGAAATCACAGCTTTGGTGTGCTGAAGCTGGTAAGTTTTCATCAGGTAGACACTAGTGGTGTTACAGACTTGTAGAATCTGTCATTCTGAAAGTATTCTGAGAGCCAGAGAATGACCCTTATTCCCGATGACATCGGCATCCCCTGGCATTGATAATTAAATGCATGAAGCGAGAACTTCTCTAAAACAATAGAACAAACAAATATAACTTTGAAGGCACGCAAGAAGGTGGTGCTTTTCTAGTTGAGAATGGAATGAAAGCTTTCAATCTAATTTATAGTCAGTCTCATATGACTACACAAATTATAGACAAGTAAAATCAGTATTTGGAGTGGATTTAATCCCATTCAAATTCTTTAGTAATTGCAGATTAAAAAAAAAAAACACCTACTAGACAATTGAAGTTGGGTTTCAGATTGGCATCTAAGGGCTGTTGTCCTCTTGCAAGAAAAGGTGGAATTGTAAGTCAATTAGTACTCTAGTGAGAATCTATATTGGAGAACCTTATTAAAAGTGACCCTGATTGTGTAGTTTTACGTTTCGCCAGGAAAACTGTGAGGTATATTATAATATATGGTGGATCTTGTCCAATATCATGTATGAAAAATGGAGGTAGCCCCATTGATTTGGAGGTTTGCATTTTCTCACTTGGGCACCCAAAGGCAATTCATCTGCATGGAGTAGACGAGGGCAGCTGGGACTAGTCCACCTGCCCAGTTCCTCCAGGAGTCATCTGGCTTAGGTCGGAGATCCATGGCAATTAAACCCTTCCTCTGCTTACTCAGTGAGTCACCGCTTGGCTGAATAGACACAGCCACCTCCTGAGGTCCTGCTGGCTCTAAAGGTCTGGTCCCTGTGCATTGAGAAAAAGGACAGGGTCAGCAAAGGTGGCTCACTCTGGGTCATACTGACCTGGGATCCTAGGAGATGGACATTAGACTTTTTAAAAATAATAATTTCCTTTCTAATCCTTTCCTCATACATTTTTTCCTTCTCTAATTTGCCCCAGTTCCTTTCATGATTCTCGAAACAGCTGTTTTCCCAAACCCCTTGTTAGGGTAAGCCTAACTATCACAGGCCATGTCTCTGTGGTTTAGGGACGGTACATCACTCTTTGAAACTGTTTTCAGGTATTTTGCCAGCAGGATTTCAGCCCCTAAATAGGGTATTTCATGGAACCTTATGAAAAGGCTGCTTTACTACCATGTTGTGAAGCTGTGGGTTTATAGCACTGCTAAATATTTAGATAGACCATGAAAATGTAGTCAATTAAGAAAAGTGTGATGTGTTTTAATGACCAGGTGTATTCAATTATTCAGCTTCAATTTCCTTTCTCTAGGATGTAAGTAGGTTTTAAAAATTTTAACTTGGTAAATTAACTCCTTAATTTTAAGGACCTGGTTCTCTGAAGACAGTGTCTGCAGTGAAGCTGAGTCCTCTCTCTCCCAGGCCCTAGTGTCTACCTCTAATTTATTCCTGATGAATGACAGCAAGTTCACAGTCTCAGGTACTTTTTCCTTCTTTCATTTCTCAAAGCTGCCTTCTCCTTTCTTTGTGTTTGTCTTAAGGTTCTGTTTGGATATGCATTGGAGGGCTTAAAGGGTTTCACTTTAAGATCCTTGGATTGGAGTCCCTGATTTGAGTTCCTGCCGAAGATCACCCAGGAGTCAGCAGTCCTGCTGTGAGCAGCATCATTTAGTGGAGGCTGGGCCCATCCTGGCCCCTGGCAGTACCATGGGGACAGCATAGGCAAGTGTGTGTGCTCAGAGACACACCTTGAAGCTCTGTGGTGGCTTGCAATTCCAGAGTTCACCTTTTGGCTTTAGAAAAGTGCTCTGAGGTTCACGCCTGTAATCCCAGAACTTTGGGAGGCCGAGGCGGGCAGATCACTTGAGTTAAGGAGTTTGAGACCAGCCTGGCCAACATGGTGAAACACCATCTTTACTAAAAATACAAAAAAATTAGCTGGGCATGGTGATAGGTGCCTGTAATCCCATCTACTCGGAAGGCTGAGGCAAGAGAATTGCTTGAACACAGGAGGGAGAGGTTGCAGTGAACCAAGATCGCACCACTGCACTCCAGCCTGGGAGACAGAAGTGGGACTCTGTCTCAAAAAAAAGAAAGGAAAGAAAAGTGCTCTGAGATCTCACACTATTTCACTCATTTTTAAAATAATGATCAGTTGGAAACCACAGACATCAGTGGAGTTTGCAAACAAATGGAGAATGAGGTCATTTGTTTACTGGTGTTCCTCCTCACTAGCCTTCAGGTTTTAGCCTGTGGGGTTTTGAAATGGGGTTGTAAAAGTACAGGAGCCATGGGGCCTTTGGTTTGTCCATACTAGATAATTAAGGCTTTTCTGAGCTAGAGTGCTAAGAATTCAAACAATTCTTTTCTTTTTGACCTAATGATAAATGTGAAAGAGAAAAAGGAAATTTGTTTGCTTTTTCAATTCCAGAAGTATCACCTATGGATCTACAGGCTCCTGTCTTTTGGGATATAGACAATGGGCTTGGAACCGAAGGGGACTGATAATGCTCTGGCTTTGTGTTCCCACCGAAATCTCATCTCTAATTGTAATCCCCAGGTGTGAAAGGAGGGACCTGGTGAGCGGTGATTAGATCATGCAGGTTGGTGAGAGGTGATTGGATCATGGAGGTGGTTTCCCGAACAATCTGTTCTCGTGACAGTAAGTGAATTCTCAGGAGATCTAATGGTTTTATGAGGGGCTCTTCCCTGCTTTGCTCTCTCGCTTTTTCTTGCCTTGTGAAGAAGTTACTTGCTTCTGCTTCCCCTTCTGTCATGACTGTAAGTTTTCTGAGGCCTCCCCAGCCATGCAGAACTGAGTCAATTAAACATCTTTTCTTTATAAATTACCCACTCCCGGGTATGTCTTCATAGCAGTGTGAAAATATACTAATACAGGGACATAAATCTGAGCTACCAGAGCTATGAAACAGAGGACTGGAGGGACTGAGCTTGCAGATGTGGTCACCCTGGCGACTGGTGCTTGTGCCAAACGCTTGTCATTGTGTGTCTGGGTACCAAAGAACCAGGGAAATAAAAACTTGCGTTCAGCAACGTGGCCTCTGCAAAACCCTCTAGGACGACCGTTGAATCCTTTCTTCCATTTGATATGACCCTCAGGTGGTCATAAACCCTTGCTCCTCAGTTAGAGAACGGATGTTTTTAGGCGAGGTAACTTGAATGTCATCCTGCTGTGGCTGTTTCGGGTGTGGTAAAGAGCAGACTTCCTATGGTAAGCTTTCCTAGGAATGAGGCTTAGAATATGGCTGGAAATGAAAGGGAAGGGAGGAGGAAGGAGAGGGACTCCCCAGCCTAGGAATTCAGATGCTGCTCTGCAGGATGCCTCATGTCTCGAAGTGGGAAAATAGCAAAACATTGAAAGGATTTGCTGAACATCGGGGCACTCTCAAAACAAAAACAGCTCGAGCGAATGGAGACGAAAAAGTATATGGAAAAATGCCTCATAATTTCCCCAATAACTTGTCTCTCTGGTTTTCTGTGAGAGCGCTGTTCTAGCAGAGGGCTTGTGCTGCTGAGAGAGAAGTCCATTTAGGATAAATGCTGAGGTAACAAACACTGACTTTCAGGTAAAATTCAGCCAGAAAAGCTATTTTTAGGTAATTAAAATTTATACTTAACCTGAATTATTTTTCTTTTCCACTCTGACTGAATTAGTTTCCGTCTAGAGAACACGCAAAGTTTTATCATAGTTTCTGTTTTTGTCATTTGGCCTACCATATTAATCATTTCAGTCTTTTAAGGAATATATACCATTTTCCATGGCTTATTTAAGGACTTACAGATTTAGAATGTAGGCAAGTGCCTCAGAAGAGTCACTGTGTCCCTTGGGATGAACACTCCCCTTTGTATCTTTGTGTTTCTTTGAGATTTTAACATGTATTGCCCACATGATTATAATCTCTTTTGGGGGCACTGAAATCGTGAGACCTGGCTGCTTCCACACTCACGTAGCAAGATTATTTCCTAGTATGCATTTGTCAGGATGTGCATCACAGGCAGTTATTTGTACATGTTTCCACTGGGAGTTTTGTAGCTGTGGTTCCTGTCAGTGGGGTGGCATTCCTTGTTAGGTTAGTCCAGTATTATATTGATTAGTTCTTCCTTCCACCCTCCAAGGACACTGGTTTTCTTTAGCAGATAGATCTTGAGTCAGTGTTAAACTTTCAGTGTAAAATCTACTGGAGACCTCTCCGTTGTATTGCTGAAGGGAAAATTTCAACTTACCCAGAATTCTTGTATATAACAAATTACATTTTGTGTTCCCAAATGCCTTGTACCACCAGCGTTGTTTATTTTGGTCTGAAAGTCCTGGGGACCTCTTGATCTTCCTGCTTCTCCTAGAAGCGGTGCTGTATGTTTCTAGAATGCCTAATGTATTGAATGATGATTTACATTTTCCGTGGAGTTTATGGATTACAGTCAGAAAAAACAAAAACAAAAACAAAAAAACTCCTAGGGCCGGGCGCAGTGGCTCACGCCTGTAATCCCAGCAATTTGGAAGGCCGAGATGGGCAAATTGCCTGAGCTCAGGAGTTCAAGACCAGTCAGGGCAACATGGTAAAACCCCGTCTCTACTAAAATACAAAAAAATTAGCCGAGCGTGGTGGCATGCGCCTGTAGTCCCAGCTACTTGGGAGGCTGAGGCAGGAGAATTGCCTGAACCCGGGAGGCAGAGGTTGCAGTGAGCCGAGACCGCACCACTGCACTCCAGCCTAGGGGACAAGCACAAGACTTGGTCTCCAAAAAAACAAAACAAAACAAAAAACTCCCGTGTAAGTGTGTGTACCTCTCCTTTTATAACATTGTCTCATCACTAAACAGTGCCTTAGTTTACTGAGTTAAAAATAATTAAAATTCAGTAAGTCATTTGACCAAGTCTGACTGGTAAGCAGACACTGGAAATAACATGCCATTTAAATTAAAATGCCCTACTTTTTGTAATATTTTCATTTTAACATGTGGAAAAGGGTGACATTTGGCTGTCAGAGATAACATGTTTGACACATTTTGCATTTCTACCTTTGTGATTTTTAGTTTTGGTTATGAACTGATTTAAAGTGTCTTAGAGCATGAGTATAGGTTTTATAAAGTAAAAGTTATTTCTTTCACTGTATATATTTAAGACTTTTGCTGCTTAGTATACTAACTCATAAAATAATTTCTATAATCTGAGTTACCAAATTTACCTGAGGTTTTTTTCTATTCTTTGAAATATACCGTATTCAATATGATGAGGTTGCATTGAACTTTTACTGTATGTAGTACTGCGGAATAAATCACCACACCCATATCCCTTTCTACACGCTCTTGCCTACAAAAACCAATCACAAAATACTTCAAGTGGTATGGGTTCTGCAAACATGAAGATTACATAACATGAGGATATGCTGCTTGACTATCCCTGAGAACTGTTTCTTATCCTGACTCAAAGGGGTGTCTCCCTGCAAAGGTGACCAGTCCTCCTGATTTGCCTGGGACTGTCCCAGTTTTATCACTCAAAGTGTCATGTCCTAGGAAACTCTTCAGTTCCAGTTAACCAGAACAATGTGTCCCTGCATCCATGTTCCATTCGTGCGCCTCCTTCAGGCCCTGATCATCCAGGTGATATACGTCTTAGTCACTCTGAAACATTCCATTTCTCTGTCCTTGGGATTCTTCTGTGTTTTGAACTGAGAGAAACCCATTGATACAGGAGTTGTTTGCCCCATAATTATATTAAATGAAGCCCTTTGGAGCAGTTTAAATGTGATTGCACATTAAAATCACCTGAAGCTTGCTTGTTCCGTGCTTTCTTGGATTCCATACTATACTCCAGTATCTTTCCAGTAAGTCATTTAAAGAAAAACATCTACCTTAAATTGTCTATTTTTTTTTTGTTTTTTACAATCAGAGGAATCATAAATATTACACAAACACAGTCAATTTTGAAGAAGCAAACTTCAGAAATGGCAGAAACCAATCCATTTCCAGAGGCCTCAATACCAGGAGTTTATGTTCCTTCTAGAGCAGTGGCTTGGGACTTGGCTACATCTTAGAATCACAGATGTTTTTAAAGTATGGTACCCAGACTCCATCTCAAATCAATCAAGCCAGAGTCTCTGAGGTCAAGGGATACTGAGCAGAAAGTTTGCAGGATCTCAGGTGATTTTAATGATATGTCACAAAATGAAAAATGCTAATAATAATATCAAAATGTTTTCAGCATTACTAGTAGTCAAAGCCAACTAAGACAGCAATGAGGTACTGTTTTTATGTTTTGTTTTGTTTTTCAAGTAGGGAAAAGATTTTGAAAATATCTGGGTTTGGCAATAATTTTGTACAAAACAGAACAGTTGGTTTAGATCAATAAGGGGAAATGGAACAATATTTCTAGAGGACAATTGAAAACATGGATTAAATATGTGTTATATATAAATTATAAATAAATTGCTATGACACATTTTCACGTTGTGTGTGTATACACACACATACAATTGACAAAAATTTTGCAGTTGACTCTTGAACAACGTGGGGATTAGGGGCACTGATCCCGTGTAGTCAAAAATCTACATGTCACTTTTGACACCCCAAAAACTCTACTAATAATAGCCTACTGTTGACTGGATGCCCTACCAATAGCATCAACCGTTGATGAACACATATTTGGTATGTTATATGTATCACATACTGTATTCTTACAATAAAGTAGGCTAGAGACAGCAAAAAAGAGATAGTTATCCATTAAGTAGAAGTGGGTCATCATAAAGGTCTTCATCCTTGTCATCTTCATGTTGAGTAGGCTAAGGAGGAGGAGTAAAAGGAGGGCTTGGTCTTGCTGTCTCAGGAGTGGCAGAGGCAGAAGAAGATCCACATATAAATGGACTGTGCATTTCAAACCAGTATTGCTCAGTGGTCCCTGTACTAGCTGATTGATTGGTGTTGCTACATAGAGATGATTTTTATTTACCCTGTAATTCCAACATTAATAAATTGATTATTTTAAAAACCAATAAAACTGTATCTAAAAAAGTCAACCAACACGTTTAAAAAGTTGTTCTCTTTTTTTGATACTCTTCTGAAGCGTTCACTGTAGCCTTTACAGTTATATTACTCGTTCCCCAGCGTCATCCCCCAGTCTCATTACAGCCGATGAAAATAAGAAATGTATGGTTTAGGCTGGGCGTGGTGGTTCACGCCTGTAATCGCAGCACTTTGGGAGGCCAAGGAGGGTGGGTCACCTGAGATCAGGAGTTTGAGACCAGTCTGGCCGAATGTTGCTGGGAAATGGGTCATGTTTATGTAGCTGCCGTCCTATAACGGAGGCTTGATGGTCTTTGCTACGCTCTAAATCCATTATTGGCAGTTGAAATATATCCATGAATTGGGAAGGAGGAAGTGTGTGGGGGAAGAAACCCAACAAAATCATAAATTGTGTACTTTAAAATTCTTTGGATAAGTACAGATGAGTGCTTTGTTATAAACATTGTGGAGGATCATACATTAATTTTGTCATTTGCTTGTTAGAATTAGTGTTATTAATATCATACCAGATAATTAGGATACAGACTCTAAATATGTTAACCCACAGAAAATCGCTTTTGGGGTTAAAAGCGAATAGTTACATTTTGAAATAGAAGGCATTATTTAAAATCTGGAAATATG